AATGACTGAGGTAAACACAAGGCCTGTGGGAGTCGAGTCAGGATTGGCCTAGCCCTAAGATAAGACCAAAGTTGGCAAGGTCGCAAAACACAAGTGACATTTCTCTAACGACTGAGAAGCAATGGTTCAAGATCTAGTGGGGGGAGGTCTGAGATAAACAAACCTAATAGTCTGGAGGATTCGGATGAGGCCTGGCCCCACAGACAGCAAGATCACCAGACATAGAAAACTACATTGATTCCCAGGGGAAGACAGGTAAATATTTCCTTCCTTTGAAGAGACAAGCTTGCATGTTTAGTTTTTCCTGGTGTCCCCGGTGCATATCTGTATGCACAAGGACCTCCTGACCTCTGCAGGTATCATCACACCTGGACCACCGTAGCCGGCAGGAAAGGGTGCACAATTTGGGGGCAGTGGCGGCCACGGTCTCAGGATGGCTCACTCCCCCTTCCATTTTAGATCTGCCTTTTCCAGCCAACAGAACTGACAGAAACCCACAAAGAGACACACAGGGAGACGCAATCATACAGAGAAAGACAGTAAATACAACCAGGGTGGCCACGACACATTCAGACACCTGAACAGACCAAGCGAGTTCAGGACATCTCACACGGATCCTGGACACTGAATCTTTGGTCACACCCATCTCCTCTCTTGTGTCTTAATCCGATGGCAACTCCTGTGGACCAGACTCGCCTCCAGAGGTGTTCAAATCAGATGACTCTGGATTGACCTTCTGGGGTGGCAGCATCAGGTAGCTACAGAGCATTGGCAGCTAACAGTTATCTGTCAGAGTATATTCTCAGGGCTCCCCGAGAAGTCGTCTCCAGCTGGCACACTCTTCCTTGCTTCTGGGGGGGTCCTCCTAAATATCTGGGTCCAGTCTCTGGGAAATCTCACTGGGGAGCCCACCAAAGACAACCACTCAAACACAGTTTATAACCACCTGAGAGTCTTTATTCTAGGCGGCTAGAACTGCGCTCTGGTATTCAGGACCCAAGTATAAAACCAAGTGTTTGAGATAAGGGGTTTTCAAAGGTGAAAGCCACACCCTGGTGTTTTGCTTGGCGGCTATCGGGAGAAGTTTTACACAAGGAAGCAGTTCAACAAAAGTTCAACAAAGACTAAGACACTCAGTTGGCTGGAGGGGGGGGGGTGTCTGCAAAGCAGGCAGTTTAAAGAAGCCAAGATAAGCCAGCTGGGGCAGCTTCACCTTGGGCTCTTAGAACAGAGATGGGTAATTTCCATAGAATCAAGATGAACAAATTCTCAGCAAAAATAAAAGATGGAGGGACCTATGCACTGTCTGGCCCTGTCGTAGCAATAGCTTTGGACTGCATCATATCGATCCTTAGTTGAAGAGCAGTGAAGTGTGTACGTCTGTGAATAGTTCAACTCCAAACTTGGCCATGTGACACAACAGCAAACCTTTTATCAGTTGTCGGTTTCTGGGGACCATAAATTTGGGGAAGGGCGTTGGCTGGTGGTCCTGGCTCAGGGCCTCTCTTGGTCTTACAGTCCATGGGAGTTAGAACATTTGGAGGCTGTCTGAGCATCTCTCCCTCTGTAGACTCAAGGTTTCCCCACATGGTCTTCCTCACAGGCTGACCTGGGCTTCCTAACAGCTCGACGGCCTCAGGGCCACCGGGCTGCTAGAATTTCCGTTTCATGCTCTGATTCTAGCATTGAAGGCCGTGCAGTAGTATAACCTCTGGCTGTGCTAGTTACAAACTGCAAAGCTTCCTGTGTTTCAGGGACTATGGAAAGGAGTTCAGACTGCGTGTGTGTATATGTTGCAGAGATGGGGGTAAGGTAGGGTGGTGGGTGTCGGAGACAGAACCTAAACCCAGTACCTCATGTGGCCTTCAGGCTTCACCCCTGACAGGGAATAGTAATATTCTAGAATAGAAATTGGCCAACTGAATCCTTCAGATCCAATGCAGCTTATTGGTAGAAAAGCATATCTATTGATTGACATTTTTTACTATAACTGTGCCAAACAGTAGAAATGACAGAGCCTGAATAGTCACACACACACACACACACACACACACACACACAGGGGATGACGACAATCCAGTTATTTCTCCAGTTAATAACAAATAGCCACCAGACCATCTTTTTAAACATTTGGGTGTGTTCAAGTAGGAATCCATTATGGATGCTGTCTGGTTTGTGTGCATGTGTTTAATATTATTATTATTGTATTATATTGATTGTGTTCATTGCGGATTCTTTTATACAAACATGATAATGACACTCAGTTTCCTGTGTCCCCCCCCCCCATTTCTCATTGGTACGAGAGACTGAACCTCTAGGTCTTTAACCATGGCAGGCAAAGCACAGCTCACCACTGAGCTGTCATCCTGGTCTTCCAGCTTCCTTTTTTAAAACCTTGAGAGGGCCTGGCACCTACGTCTGTCCATAATCCTGACACTTGAGAGCCTGAGTCAAGGATAGCATAAGTTCAGGCCAACCTGAACTACACAGAGGAATCTTGTCTCTAAATAAATACTGACATCGATAAAGGGATGGGTATTGCAGCCCAGCTGTCTTAGTTTTTATTGGATTAGTGTTCGCGTGCGCGCGCGCGCGCACACACACACACACACACACACACACACACACACGCTCCACAGTGACCATGCGCAGGTCAGAGGGCAGCTTGGTGGAGCTGCTTGGCTCCTTCCACCATGGGCTCTAGAACCCCACAACACAGTTCTTTTGCCAGCTGAGCCATCACTTGCCGCCAGCTCTAGAGCCCTGGCTGAGCATGCGCCACGCCCTGGATCTAGGTGTGTGTCCCCCCCCCCCTGCATTCCTAAATTAACGGATTAAAACCTACACAGTGTTAATTTCCTCCTACTCCTTAAAAGCTGTTTGGCCTTGGAAAGGTTTCTTCATCTCTCAGTCCTCTGAAGCCCGGAGTGGCCTCAAATTCACCACGTAGTATCCGGGTCTGCTGATCTTCCAGTCCACGTTTCTCTGGCTAAATTTTGAAAGTGGGAGAAAAAAAGAGGGAGGGGGGGATGCTAGTCTGAGGGCTGAACATTGGGGCCGCTAGTCTGAGGGCTGAATGTGAGGACTAACCAGGCGTCTTATAATATAGGGAAGATTAACGGTCACGGCTGGCGGGGTAGGGGTTCCTAGAACAGGGTTTCATCTCTCTTCTGTCCTTATATGGAGTTTGAGGATGATGTATCATGGAGCCAGCTGGAAGGTAAACAAGAATTTTGCAAGGCCGCCGATTTGAAGATGTCATAATAAGGGACAGTTAACTGTCATCTCTGGCCATGCTGGTCCCAGCTGGTTTTGAGGGATCTTGAGTTTACTCCCCCCTGGACATCTTGCTGTGAGCCAGCTCTGCACCTGCATAAGCCGGCAGTCGCCCTGCCTGACCTAGGCGAGTTAGTCTTCCAGCCTGGTCCAGGACCAGGAAGGATGGGAGGTGAGAATCCACTTCTCAGTCCTCGGGGTTGGGAGGTGAAAGCCGAGTGAGAGAAAGAGCAAGCTAGTAGAGAGGGCGTCCATGTCTGTTCTGGGGGGTGACTAAAGGTTTTACTTCTCAGGGAACGGGGGTGCTGCCTCTTACTACTACCCCCCCCCCCCCGTCACGGCCGCTGACAAATATAGTGACTTTGGAGGACGTGAGTCATTTAGCAGCAGAGGCTTCCTGTAGTCACCCAGCTGGCCCAACCCAACCCGCTTTGACCAGGTCACCTGAAGAGGGACAGACTTCTGGCATAAGTGAACCGGTCGCCTAGGCAACCTTCAAGGCAACGAGTCTGCTATGGAACGCCCATTTGGGGGCTTGTGTTCAGAAGGAACTGAAAAGATAACAGAATGTAGTAACTGCTCTATCCGGCCAGAAGAACAGGGAGAAGCATTTGGAGGGACAGTGCAGATGTCTTCCAGTAGGTGGCGACACTTACACTGGTACCTGGAGCAGTAGGAACCCCAGGGCAAAGGGAGGAAACTTGGTTGCCTGAATAAAGTATGATTGGTCAGGAAGAGCGGCCTGAAGGCTAGCAGACTTGGGGAGCAGGAGTTTCCTGAGCCCCGGATGGGACACTTTCCTCCGAGGAACATATGTAAGCCTGCATTTCCACGTTATCACTGCGGTCCTAAGTACAGACAACAGTTTGGAAGCAGGGACGAGACCTGCAGGATGTGACCAATTCTAAAACACTTCTGACGAACACGAGCGTTTGACCTATTGCCTACTTTGTACACAGATCCTTCACGCAACAATACTTTTCCTAACCATGAGGAACTCTGGTGTTTTCTATTTAAACGTTTTCCTTTCTACACAGTGAGGCTGCCTGACTCACCTCCGTTGATCCCATGACTCATTAATAAATCACAGGCGTGAGCTGTAGAAACCCGCAGGAGGAAACGGCTGCGACACCCCCGGAGACGGGTTAATAAATAGAAAGATCTAGAGACCGAGAAAGGGTCAAGCAGGACGTAGAATGACCTCAGGATGACCTAAGAGACAGGAGGATCAGAAAAATAATGGCCAGAATTGTGGCTTGAACAGTGGTACACAGATGCCCTGGGTTTGGGGCTGGACATTAACTGGAAGGTCGCTTAGGAGGGTAAAGATAATTTGTAAAAAGCCTTTGTTTGTTTCTTAAGTCCCACCTCCGTTTTTTTTTTGGGGGGGGGTAGACCCTAACGTATTCTGTAACTTAAGGTGTATCCAAAGAACATCATTATATAATTCCAGGACTTTTCGAGCTTTATTGAGAAAGGGACCTAAGCGATGGAGCTGACCGAGAACTCCGGGCAGGTGTGGTCAGAGGACTGAGCCGACAAAGGCTGCTCCGCTGTGGCTGCGGCAGGATCCGGTTTCACAAGGTCGGGAAGAGGGGAGTTAGGTAGAGCCTGGTCTCTTTATTTAGCAATCCTGTTGGACAGAGGTCTCTGTATAGAGCTGACATCAAATCTAGAGTTCACATCACTCTTTTGGGACTATCCCAGGCATCTCTTTAAAAAAAAAAAATATGGAAACACCACTAACTTTATTCTGCTTGTCCTCTCGGGTGGCCGGACTCGGCTTCCTGCCTTTCCAGTTTCCCAGTCCCCGGCTTCCTCCACCCGAATCTTTTCTTTTGCAAAGCCTTTGGGTGATGGTAGCCTGTTGCTAATGGCAGATTTCAAACAATGGGTGTTTCTGAGCCCGGTTTATTGAGGCGGTCTTTTCGGTGTCCTAGGGGAGATTGTAAATGAGACGTCCACAGGGGCTCTTTTGTGTGGCTGGCTTTCACCCCCGCCAGAGAGGAATTCCCTTACGGAGCTGGGACTTAAAGCCGATTTCTTGCCTTTTTTTTTTTTTTTTTTCCCAACAGCCAGAGCGAAGGGCAACAAATGAGTCAGTCAGTCTGTGCTCCCGTAACTTCCTACCCAGTTTAGCAAAGCAATGACTCGGCTCTTTACACGTAGAAGGCAAGGCTCCAGTTTAAAATTTCTGGGATTATTCTCACAGCTGAGCCTCTTTCCTTGACAGTCAGCAAACTGGTTAACCCATCAGGGGGACCTAGCCCCTAGCTGTTTTTTCTCACTCTCTAGAGAACTGGTCCTTGTTTGGATTGCTTTCTCTTTTAAATCCAAGGACAGAAACAAACGTTTCCTGGCCTCCAGCTCTTCTCTTCCCCCTCACCCTTGCAACCCGGTTTCTCAGCAGGGGTTGGCAATTCTAGAGCTGTAATTACTGCAGGCCGAGCTTGGCCAGGCTCCACCCTGGGGAGATTACGCCCTTTATTGTGGCTCAGCCAGGTGCCCGGGGTGACAGGACAGGCCTTTATCTTCCAGCTTGACAAGGTTATCAGCGACTCAAACGGGCTGAACCTCGGAGCAGCGGCCCTCAAAAGATTCTCTTCTCCACAGTTTTATTGGTAGTTAATTTACGTCCACCCTAGCCCTGCCTGCCTCGGGTTTTTCCGCATTCCCATTCCAGGTCTGAGAGAAGTCAGCTGCCCCTGCGAGCCAGTTTTGACGAGACCCCCCACCCTATAGCATCAAGCATTTTGGCACGCGCAGGAGAATTTTTCAGTGTTCATAGTTGCCTTTTGGATTTGTGTTTTACATTCATTTCTTTATTGAGAAAGGGGACACCACGGCCAGAGGCCACCTGCTGGGGCTGTCTCTGTCCTGCCCCGTAAACTCCAGGGATTGAAACAGGCTAGCAGACTTGGCAGCAAGTGTGTCTACCTGGTGAGCCCAAAGTTGTTATTTGATAAAGTCTGACTTACGGTAATAGAAATCCAAAAGAAAAAAAAAAAACCCAAGATTTTATTGCCCCTCATTTTTATGGTTCATTTTAAAAACAAGACTATAATCCACACCAGGAAGTAAGGTGCAGGGCTTGTTTAGGGTCATAAAAATGTCGAGTGTTTGATCGGTCACCTGTGCAGTTCACTAACACATCTGTCTACCCACACATCAGTTTGGAGAGATTGTTTTGGCAGTGCTGGGGGTGGAGATCCCCATATGCTGGGCAAGTGTGACACCACAAGCTATACACCCCCCACCCCAGTTTACTCTGTAATTCAAGCTGTAACGATGATTATCTCAGCTATTAACTGAGTTTAAACTAGAGCATTCGAAGATGATCTCCAGACCCTGTTCCCTGTGTAGAACTTTAATAACTGAAGTTTGATTGCAGATAAAGTGTAGCCAGAAGTCCCACCCCACCCAAAAGAATCTATTATGGACTCCCACCCGCCTGTCAGTCCAAGAAAAAAAACAGCTAATTTATTTATTTTACTGTCTATGAAGTTGGCATGGGAGTAAGGATCCGGAAGAAGAGGGGTGGACGGCACAGCCTTGTAAATATGCAATGTTTATCTCAAGAAACACAGCTTGAAGTACCATTTGCTATTCAGATATCACCCTAACCTGTGGAAAGAACACAGTTGAAGAACCCTCTGGCCACCCCTACCGTTAAAATAAAAACTAACAAGGTATATCTCATGTGCAAGGTACTAACTCCACAGACAACAGAGACTACAATCAAACCCGACTGTGCTGTGCTGAAGAGGCAGGAGTAGGAGGATCAGGAGTTCCAGGACAGCCTAAACCATACCTTTAAACTCGGTGAGGTGGCTCATGCCTTTAATCCCAGCACTCAGGAAGAAGAAGTGGGCAGATCTCTTGTTATTTGGGGGTTTCTGGTTTTTTTTTTTTTTTTTTTTTTTTTTTTTTTTTTTTTTTTTTTGAGACAGGGTTTCTCTATGTAGCCCTGACTGTCCTGAAACTCTGCTCTATGGACCAGGCTGGTCTTCCACCTGGTCACAGATCTTCCTACCTCTGCCCTCCAAGAACTGGGCTCAAAGCACACATAGCAAGGCAGAAGATCTCTTTCAACACTAGCATGGTCTACAGAGTTCTAGGCCAGTCAGGGCTACAAACTACACAGTGAAACACTGTCTCAAAATAAAACTGAAATAGAAAACGTTGTAACAAACTACGTTCTACGGGGTGGTGGTTCAGTTCTGAAAGTGGTAGCCCTGCAGGATGCTGGCGACTCCTCCATCCACATTTCTGTAAGCCATCACCCAAAATCTGACCTTGGGACTGCCAGCAACAGGATTACAGCGCTGCCCTCCCAAAGACTCAAGGGGAGAATCTTTTGGTCATTGTTGTTTTAAGACAACGTCTCACGTAGCCCAGGCTGCCCTTGAACTCACAGTGTAGCTGAAGCTAGCCTTGAACTTCTGATCCTTCTGCCTCTACCTCTCCGGTGAGGGGATTACAAGTGTTCACCCACCATGACCAGCAGATACAGTGTGGCACGTCTTTGAAAACTAAGTAGGCGTTGGCTGGGAGAACAATTTCCCAGCCCGCTCTGGCTCTGTCGTGGGAGAGCTGGGGCAAAGCAACCTCTCTCTTGGCCTCCCTTTTTATCAGCAAGCCATACCCTCCTTGGCAGAGTTGTTTTGGGGGATTTAATGAGACCGGCTGCAGCCTTGGGTTCATTAACACTCGGTGAATGAGGCAGATAGAGGTTGGAGTAACATGATACCAGTTTTAATTCTTAACTTCAAAAGGATTTTAACTGAAATTTGGCAGATGACAAGCACTCACCAGTGCCTCCTGTCCTTTGTCTCCAGGCTCGAAATCCACCCTCTGCTCGCCAGGTGTGTGCTCTACGACTGAGCTACACCCCAGGGTGACTCCTGTAGTGGGAACGAGCCCTGGAGGACACTGGGACAGTTTCTTAGATCTGTGTCCTCAGCTGTCAATGACACAGCAGGTAAAGTGACTCCGTCATCCTCAGAGCCGATGGTGATCAGGACCAAGGAACCGCAGAGGTCAGGACAGATAACAGGACACTTTTCCCTTGGAAAGAGGAGGGTTTCTAGGAGGAAGAAAGGAGATCAATAATTAAATGCTTACCTACCTCGCTGCTGGTGCCTCCCACAGCCCCGCCTTCCAGACCCCACAGACACCAATAGGAAGGGAAGGCTGGTTTCCTTTCTTCGCCGAAGCACAAACCCTGTTTTTCAGGCATGAGGCTTTCCAGTGCATTCTCCAGGCTGCTGGCAATCCCTAGGCAGAGCTGCATTCAAGGGCTCCCAGGAAAGCCTGACTCCAGTCAGTTAGGACTCAGCAGGCCTGGGCTCCCATAGATGTGATTATCGTCATTCTTAAACAGGCCCCTCACTTCCTGAAGCAACACAGACAAATACCATGAGCTTGATACTCTTCTCCAGTATAGGAATCCTCTACAACTTATGGTCTTGGCCTCGGGGTGAGCAAATGCCAGCTATGGTCTGTTTACTAGACCCCCACCCTTAGGAAGGTGAGGCAGGAAGATCAGAAGTTCCAGGTTATCCTCAAGTCCCAGGTCAGCCTAAACTGCATGAGACTTTAGCAAATGAATAAATAAAATAAATAACAAGATTTTTAGCCAGGCGGTGGTGGCACTAAGGAGGCAAAGGCAGATGGATCTCTGCGAGTTCAAGACCAGCCTGGTCTACAGAGCAAGTTCCAGGATAGGCTCCAAAGCTACAAAGAAACCCTGTCTCAAAAAAAAAAAAAAAAAAAAAAAAAAAAAAAAAAAAAAAAAAAAAAAAAAAAAAAAAAAAAAAAAAAAAAAAAAAAAAAAAAAAAACACAAGAAAAGCCGGGGTGGTGACGCATGTCTTTAATCCCAGCACTCTGGAGGCAGAGGCAGGCGGATCTCTGAGAGTTCGAGGCCAGCCTGGTCTACAAGAACTAGTTCCAGGACAGGAACCAAAAGCTACAGAGAAACCCTGTCTCGAAAATTTTCAAAAAAGTAAAGACAACAAAGGTTCTCAGAAGGGAAAAGCAGATACAATGGCATATTTGTAATCTCAACGCTCAGAAAGTTGAGGGGGTTGGGGGATCAGGAGTTCCAAGGTCAGCTTCAGCTTTGCAGTGAGTTCTGGGCCAGCCTAGGCTACAGGAGACAAAAGCCCAAGAATGATGAGTGACAGGAACCACAGGGGAGAAAAGCACTCAGACAGGGAACGCAGAACATCCGGGCCACTCAGCAGCGGCCAGTCAGGACCTGAGTGTGACACCCGGCAGAGACAAAGGAGGATGTGAGGTAGATAAACCACAGGTGAGAGCAGAAACCACAGTTTTCATTTTGATGATGCTGGGAGTGGAACTCTGAGCCTCGAACATACAAGGCTCATGTTCTACAGCTGAGCAGTCACTCAACCCCATGACTCTGGGGTTTGACATACTAGCTCCACGGCAAAAGGTGGCATTCACAGCTGCACTTGGCCAGCCCTGACTAGTGCCAGCAGAAGTGGGCACTGGGGACAACAGACTATGTAGTTGTCTGTCCTTTGGTATCCTTGGAGAGTTGATTCTGGAACACCCTCTTCGTCCTGCATGTTTATAGGAATACTCAGCCACTCGAGTCTCTTGGGTAGTATTTGCATAACCTGTGAACAATATACTATAAGCCATTTTGAGATTACTTCTAACACCTAATACAAACGCTTTGGGAATATTGTTTTTTATTTCAGTGGATCTAGAGATCCGTCTCAGGCATACTCTACCACTGATATAGACCCATACATATTTTTTAAGACAGGGTCTCACTCTGTAGCTCTGGGTGGCCTAGAACTTGCTGTGTAGACTAGGAAAGCCGCAGAGTCACAGAGATCCACCTGTCTCTGTCTCCCAAGTGCTGGGCTTAAAAGTATATGCCAACCTGCCTGGCTAGATGTTAATTTTTGGAGACAAGTATCCAACTTTGTGACTCAGCCTGGCTTTCCCTTTGCAATCCCCCTGCCTCAGCCTCCTGCATGCTAGGACTGTGTGAACATACACCAAGCAACTAGTTGTTATGCTCTACAGAGAGAATAGCAAATAAAAGTCTGGCATGTTCCGCGAAGGCGCCATCTGTCCTTCCAGATCCCTTAACATTCACAGTGAGTGGAGCCTGCAGGTGCTGACCTTGTGGCTACAGGGAGGAGTGGGTGGTGGACTGTGAGACCCAAGGCCACCCGGACTAGCTTTGCAGCCACAGTCTGGCTTCCCTTTTCTCCAGGAAATGTCTTCCCATTGTCCTTCATTCCTTCATGTAGCCAACATTTACTATGTCATGACTGTGACCTACCTGGTCTAAGATCCGCCGTGGCATGCCTGCGACCTACCTGGTCTAAGATCCGCCGTGGCATGCCTGCGACCTACCTGGTCTAGGATCCACCATGTCATGACTGCGACCTCCCTGGTCTAGGATCCACCATGTCATGCCTGCGACCTACCTGGTCTAGGATCCACCATGTCATGACTGTGACCTACCTGGTCTAGGATCCACCGTGTCAAGAATGCTTGGCTGCGTGCTTCATACCTCTTGGTGAACGTCTTTCTCTCGATCCGGCCAGGAAAAAAATATATAGGGTCAGCCAAATGGCTGAGAATCGGCATCTGGAGAGAAATGAAAGCTGGCTGGCCAATGAGAGCATCAGAGACATCACTTTTCTTGTTCCTGGCATCATGTCCACACTCGTCTCTTAGTAGTTCTGAGTTTTCCTACACAGCTATGATGGCAAGACTCTGGACATCTGATAGTCCCCAGTATTGAGTTACAGGTGTATGCCACCACACCCAACTGGCATGCTGTCTTTCATCCAAACTCAATCCGCCCTAACCGAGGGGTTGGGAGAGCAGTTGCCCAAACAGGAAACTGTCTATAATTCTGTGACTCTGACCTTGGGCCCCCAATCTCCCTTTTCTGTGAACAGTCCATTCAACTCAGGAAGACCTGTGAGCCAGGCCGGGACACATTTTGAAAAACACACACATGATTACAAATGCTGAAGAAGAGGAAGAAAACAATCCCCTAAGTCTAAGAGGAAGTGATCCGAGTCCATGGTAGAAACCACTCCGTAGAGTCATGGGCCAAATGGACATGAAATCTTGGCAGTGCTGAAGCAGCCGGGGCTGTCATCTGTGTACACAGATGACTCAAGGGCCCCTGTTAGCAAAGCCGGGAGAACGAAGTGTCAAGTCCAGATCAAATTCCCAACTGGGAACGATACTTGCTCGCGCCTTGGAAATTAGTAATCCTGAAGGTAGAAATGCCCCGATTTCAACACAGGTGCCCTGGCTCTCGGAAGGCTGCAAGTCACACTGGGGGTGGGGACAGACGGATTGGACAGACACGACATGGGACGCAGGCCATGCTGGCTCAGATCCCCAGCTTTGTCTATGGTTTCAGGCATGTCCTGTCTTCACATATGGCAACTTTGAGCTCCTAGTATTACTTAATTGATTGTCAAACTTCACTAAAAGTCTCTGTGACGGGGCTCAGACCGTAACCCCGGGACCTGAGCCTTCGGCAGAGACACCTCCTTCCCAGCATCATTCGGTGCCTTCTAATTTAGGTAATTAATGGAAGTTTCTGAAGAAAGAAAAATTCTTTGATCTGAACTCTGAGTTTCCGGGTACCATTTCCAGATGCAGAGCTGAGGAGTGCCAGGTGCTTGGGCTAACAGCAGCCCACAACTGCGGGCCTCCATTCCTGCCCAAGGGAGGAAGGGGTGGGGCAGTCTGAGAGGACCAGACAACCTAAAAACACTGCCAATGGCATTTTCCTGGGTGTAGCTGAGGCTGGGAGGCTGCTGTCTGGGAACCTGGCCCGGCAGTGTGCAAGTCTTCAGTGATCCTTGCAGATAGGAACCCAGCAGGGCTGACTGGGAAAACTGCAGACCCAAAAGGTATCTGCATGCAGAATACACATTAAGACAAAACGGGGGGGGGGGGCGGGGGGCACACGAGACTACGGGAGGAGACTGGGAGTCGTCGCAGCAGGAATCCCATTTTGATGATGCTTTTTCAAGACTGACTAGGGAACCCAGGTTGGTCTCGAACCTTGATCACCCCCCCCCATCGGCCCCAGAAGGATTCACAGTCCTTTGCCACCTGCCATGCATGCTCTCGGGATGCCCAGGGTTTGCTAGTCCAGAGGTTTTACTCAGCATATAGATGGGACAATTGCTAATGTGCTTAGATAAAAATGAAGCCATTCTGGAGCTGGACGTGGCTGGTGCATCCCTTTAATCCCAGCGCTCAGGACGCATAGGCTGAGTTCCAGGACAGCCTGGGCTACCTAGTGAGTTCCAGGACAGCCAAGGCCACACAGACAAACCCTGTCTCGAAAACAAAAACAAACAAACAAAAAAAGATGTTCTGGACAGATTCCAGCTCTTTACCAGTCCGCAGGGCCAACAAAGCCACTTACCAGAAGGAATTGCTGTGGAGCTCCAAGCACATGTGTTGTTCCTATCTTGGCCACCAGGGGACGCCCAAGAGCAGGGTAGCCCTGCCGCGCTTAGTTTGTTTTCCCAAACTTTGGATTGGGAGGGAGGAGGTCCGGTGCGGGGGCGGTAGGAGAGATGCAGCTGGCTGGAAAACAATCCATTTGTGCCCTGAAATTATCCCACCCGCCGTTTTCAAAGTCAAAGGTTGCCACGTTACCTGTTGCCAGGTTCCTAAGAGTGCTCGGGGAAAGATGTGGATGAGAAAAGCCCTCCTGAAGCCCGGTGGGTTGCAAGCTTTGCCCTGCGCCAGCGCAGACATTTGGAGAGCAGCTGCGGCGGATCTGAGCGCCGTTCGGTTGTTCATCTAACAGAGGAGTGGCTGCGTCTTACGTCGGTTCCAGGCATCAAGTGCCTGGGGCTTTTTCTTCTTCTTCTTCTTTCTCTGTTTAATGGCTCTTAACTTTCTGATTCCTCCCCTCCCCTCCCGGAATTTTTATACAGTGCTCGCCCTGTACAAAACAACCTCAGTCTCGGGAAGCCCAGGTTTTGTAACAACCTTTTAATTAGGAGTGTGTGTGTGTGTGTGTTTGTGTGTGTGTGTGTGTGTGTGTATTAAATAAACCCCAAACGTCGTGGCCCAGAGGACAAGCCTTTCCTTTCTTCCTGCCATCTGAGAACAATGTTTTGTTTGATTAGCCGGGTAGTGGGGCTCTCCCTAGAAAAGGCGGGGGCTATCAGTTGAATAGATCTTCAAGCCAGACATGCCGAGGCTTGGGGCATTTGTCTGGCATTAGGAAGTGTCTGGGATCTTGGTAACCACCAACTGGCAAGGGTGTGGATGACTGCAAGAGTTATTGCCAGCCCCTCCCCATCCTCAGCGCTCACAACAGCCGCTTGCTTTTTTTCTTTTTTCTTCAGAGACAGGGAAGAGTGTTTTCCCCGAGGAGGATGTCTTGAGTGCAAGTCGTTCTCAGGAGGCCACTTTCCTGGAGCCAGAACTAAAGGAGAGACTCCTGTGTAGTGCACTGTACCTCCCAGGGGTGGGCTGGCAGACAGCAAGCAGGCGTTCCTGGCCCCTGCCTCGCACCACAAGCCACCCTATCACTCTGGGTGGCCTGGAAAGGGGGAAGCTGTAAATATTTTTGAAACGGTGCAGTAACTTTCCCATGTGGACTCTGTTGGGTAGAGTTTCTGTAACGTTTTGTTGACTTTTAAAAATTTATATATACCTGAGTATTTTATTCTCTCCCTTATTTTTTATTATTATTTATTTCTTTATTTTGTTAGTTTCAGGACTGAAGACAGGCCTTCCTAGAGAAAACAGGGTCTCTACGTAGCCCTGGCTGTCCTGGAGCTCCCTCTGCAGATCAAGCTGGCCCCAGACTCATAGAGCTCCTCCTGCCTCTGCCTCCCAAGTACTAGGATTAAAAGCGTGGACTACCACTGTCAGGCTTAAATAAAATATTTATTTATGTTCATCCCGAAGCCGGGCGGTGGTGGCGCACGTCTTTAATCCCAGCACTCGGGAGGCAGAGACAGGTGGATCTCTGGGAGTTCGAGGCCAGCCTGAAAAAAAAAAAAAGATTATATTCATCCCGAAGACACCTCCACAAAACACCTTCTCCGAGCATTGGGAGAGATTCCTCCTCACATAGCCCTCTGTGATAGACACAGCGCAAGTGGGACCCAGGAAGGTGACAGAGTACGCCATGCAGAGAGAGCTTGAGTGTGGCCTTTTATTAAAAGGGAGGGAAGAGAAAGAGAGAAAGGGAGCGCAAAGGAGGAGAAGCAGAGAGCTGCCTCTTCATGAGAAAGGGGTGGGGGAGAGAACTAGAGATAAGAGAGTGGGCGGAGCTTGTCTCTTAGAGGGCCCTTTCACCTGTGTGCAGATTAGGACCCTGGCTTGGCCGGGGAACAGCCTGGGTGCATCCTGCCAGATGACTGGCCAGGCCAGCATAATGCCTGCATCCTAACACTCTGCACCTTGTAGCAACTCCTTATAGGTTTAGTAAGTGAGTAAGTTTGAAATGGTTCCCAACAGAGGCGTGAATTTTTACTTAATTTGGTTTGGGGTGCCTGTAGCCCCAGTTGCGTGGGAGGCTGTAGCAGATTGAGTGTTCGAGACCAATCTCGGGATCATGGTGAGACTCTTTTTGTTTGTTTGTTTTTGAGACAGGGTTTCTCTGTGTAGCCCTGGCTGTCCTGGAGTTCTCTCTCTGTGTAGATCAAGCTGGCCTCACATTCAGAGATCTACCTGCCTATGCCTGGCAGATCCTGGGATTAAAGGCGTGTGCTGGAGGACTGGAGGAGATGGCTCAGCCAATAAGAGCACTGGCTGCTCGTCCAGAACAGCACCCACATGGCAGCAAGTTCCAGGACAGCTACATAGTAAGACCCTGACTCAGAGAGAGAGAGAGAGAGAGAGAGAGAGAGAGAGAGAGAGAGAGAGAGAGAGA